TTTCCAATATTCAAAAAAAAAAAAAACTCAGCGAGTGACTCCCTACCAATCATGATCATAAATTGTCGGATAACACCGTTATTGGGCAAATTGCCGTTATTCACAAATTTTTGCCACATATTTAACATAACTGATCCGTGATAATAAAAAATCATACTTTAATCATGGTTAGCCAGGTTAATCAGGATAAAACATTTAGTAACCAAAGTCGTTTACCAAAGCTTCCTGTTCCAACTCTCGAAGAGACTACGACAAAATATTTGCATTCACTCCGTCCTCTTTTATCTGACAAAGACTTTGCAAAAAATGAAGCTCATATTAAAGATTTTCTTAAACCTAACGGTTTAGGTCGTATTCTTCAACAGCGTTTAATCGATATTGATCGTATATCACCTAATAATTGGCTTGATGATACTTGGTGGATAAAAAAAGCATATCAAGAATGGAGAGTTTCTCTTGTTATAAATTCTAATTGGTTTTTCTTGTTCTTTAATGATTCCAATACACCACGAGAATATTTTTCTATTGACAATGGTGTTAAACCGCGAGGTCATTTTTCGGAATTTCAGGTTAAAAGAGCAGCTCAATTAATTAATAAATTATTAGAATATAAAGATTTAATTGATAGGTAAGATTGATTTTTTTTATTTTTCGGTTGAATTTTTTTTTTACGATTGATCAATTTTTATTTTTAGTGAACGAATTCCACCAAATGCTACACGTACATATCCTCTGTGTATGTACCAATATACACGTCTTTTTGGATATACTCGAATTCCGCAACATGGTTGCGATAAGCTTGCATATTCACCACATCCAAATTCAGTAAAATATATCTTGATTATCGTGAAAAATCAATTTTATATTTTGGATGGATATGATAAAAGTGGTATACGATTGACTGCTGGTGATATCGAAAAGTACGCGATTATATGATAATATTAATAATTTGTAAAAAAAAAAGAATCAAATTCTAATAATTATATTTGACTAAAGGCAGCTTAATGACATTATTGCTGATGTTAAAAAGGCCCAGATTGATCCACCAGTTGGTATTCTCACTGCAGATGATCGTGATTCTTGGACTATGGTATGTCTCTAAATGAAATTTTTTGTTATATTTTAATCTTAGATTTATTATTAACACATTTTTACAAGTCACGAGAAAGATTACTAGCAATTTCACCACAAAATCGAGAAACATTGACTTTTATTGAGAATTCATTATTTGCTGTCAACTTGGATGACTATGCAACAGGAACTGATCTTGATAAATTTCTTGGAAATATATTTCATGGTTTTGATGGTCATAACCGTTGGTTCGATAAAGAAATGTCAATTATTGTAGATAGTAATGGACGTGCAGGGATGAATGGAGAGGTATTTTTCTTTTTTAATATTTATTTAATTAATTTTGTAATATGGTAATATGGTAATGACACGATATCTTTTATTAGCATTCTCCATGTGACGCGCTCATACCTGCATTTGCTAGTGAATGGATTCTCAAAGAGCCTACTTCACTAAATGCGCAATTATCTGGTCGTCCTATACCTCCTCCTTTCCGAATTCGTTTTATCACTAATGAACAAACGCTAAAGGATATTAGGGCTGCAGAGAGTAGAACTAGAGATTTAATTGCTGATTCTGATGCAACTGTTTTGCAATTTTCGGAATATGGAACATCTTTAATAAAAAAGACTGGTAAATAGTCATCCTAGAAATTTATATATTATTTATAAATATTACATGTCAGGGCGAAACCCGCGCTAAATTCTAGTAAAATCCGCTTTGATCATAGGGTTAGGATGAAATCTGCGTTAGTATAGTGTTTTTTATATGTAAACGCGGATTTCACCCTCTTGTGATCTGCATAGCGGATTTAACCAAAATTCAGCGCGTGCTTCACCCTGTCGTAATGCTATTATTTAATAAATATAATTATTTATTTAATAAATTATCATTACTACTTAGGAAAATGTTCACCAGATGCATATCTTCAAATGGCTTTACAGTTAGCATATTATCAACTTCACGGAAGAGTTGTTCCAACTTATGAAACAGGTGCGACAAGAAAATTTTTGCGAGGACGCACCGAAACAGTTCGAACTTTAAGTGTGGAGAGTAAGGCATTTGTAGAAGGGATGTTGGATAAATCGCTGAGTGTATGTCTGTCAAAATACCTTTTTTTTTAAAAAAAAAAAAGAAAAAATTTTTAAATTATAACTTAGTTAATTTGTCTATTATTTGGTTTTATAGGTTCAACAAAAATATGATCGATTACAAGCTGCGACTAAGGCACACACCAATTACTCAATAGATGCATCTAATGGTAAAGGCTGCGATCGTCATTTGCTTGGGCTTCGACTTTTGTTACAAAAGGGAGAGTCTCATCCAATTTTTGAAGAACCAATCTTTGCAAAAAGTCAGGAATGGCTATTGAGTACAAGTAGCTTAACTTCTGGTGATTATTTTAGTGGTATGTTTTAACATTCGGTTATGCTTGATATAATTTTTTTTTTTTTTTTAAAAAAAAAAGAAGATATTAATATAATAATATATAATGATTTTGTTTAAAGGAACTGGGTTTGGATGTGTTTACCCTAATGGCTATGGAATTAACTATTCTCCGGGTAAATATCAAAGAAAATTCAACTTATAATGTTCATTATTTCATATCATCTATTAAATGTTAATATCTATCCTTTTACATATAAGGCGAACATATAATGAAATTTGGTATAGAATCAAAATTCTCATCATCAGAGACTGATACTAAAGCATTAAAAGAAAGCATTATTAAGGCACTAAGAGATATGAGAAACATTTGTGAACAAGTGAATGGTAAACCTAGTAAACTATGAATTTTGTTATAATAGAATAGAATTTGTTTACTTCTCCTGAGAAAAGAATGATTGTTTAATTTTATAACTATCATTGACAAATTATTTGTGGAAGGCTGTAATTTTACTATGTCGGTATTAAATTTATTATTTACTTTTCTTTTCTCGAATGTAAATTATTTTGGTAGATCGGATATAAGTTTTGTACAAAATCATTATTATTCGCGTTGTGCTAGATGTTAGAAAATAAATATTGCCAGAATTCACGTTACATATACACTAATTATGCTTATTGGGTATTAATTAGCGTTAGAATCTGTCAAGTTGTCTTAGACCATTCTCAAATTTTCAGGTGTTAATTATTATACCCTATTCGGAGCAATTCAAGAATTTCCCATTTTACAGTCTGCCCATAATTCACATTTTTTTGACAACGGATATGCTTAATCCTGCCATAATGATGATTTTACTTCTCTTAATCAATTTGCGGTTAAAGCATCCTCGAATTGCATTGTAGGTGCCGAAGAAATTCTAAACCCATTAATTTATGTTTTCAAAATAGATATTTGAAACGCAAAAAGCGTTTACCCTTTAATCATAATGCTAAATTATTGGCGAAAAAAAATGGTTAACTTTTTTCTACTGAGTGTTTAAAGCCTGTTGACATTTCTTTTGTCGATTGCCTGTCTTTGAAAAATTGATTAGAGATGTACAATGAAAACATTACCCAACACAGAGCGTCGTGGATTTGACAATCTTATGCAGGAAAAATTTATCGTAGCCTGGGATATACCGATACTGTAATTGTATTTTCGATCACGGTCTCATAGACAAAGAGTGATAAATGAGTTGAAAGCCAATAGATTGGCCACTGATTAGGTCGTAGATGTGGACGAATTTGATGCACATCAAACCGAATTTATTCTATATACTGAGCAGTGTTTTTTTAGGAGTTTGTATTTCAGAATATTTCTTAAAATAGATGAGGTCCTGTGGTTATATGATAATCGATGGAAGATAATACAGCCTACCCTCGTTTATACCATTTTAAATTCACGTTGATAGTGATATTAACAAGGGATTATATTATTAAAGTTGATATATATGAGGGAATTTAAATATATAAAAATTTGCAAAAATTCATCTCACGGCTTAGATTGACTGTAAAATTAAGTCATAGGCTATATAGATTTCATTTTACGAAACACTTTGAAAATAATTGCAGACAAATGATGAACCATTTTGCGCAGCCCTTGGTTAAATGAGACGGCCAGTACTTATTGAAAGTCGGTTAATTCTTTGCTAAAATATATTTTATCGTTATCTACATATATTCTTTATTTTCGCGTATAATTATATTAGCCAATCAAATCTCTGAATTAAAAATTAGCTAATCGAAAGCATTTCATGCAAGATTGATTTGGATTGATCAAAATTCACATAATTTGTCAAACATTCGCTAACTGTTAACGTTAATTGATTATAGATTATCTCTGCACAAAGATCTTATGTTTACACTTTGTGATTGTGAATAAAAGATTATATTATTGTGCCGATCAGATGAAATAATTAAATAAAGATAATTTTTATCTCCAAAGTTGAAATTCACCTCAATTAACAATGTTGGTAAATCGTCGTCTCTTTCCTATCGCAAAAGTTAAATTTTTAATCAATCGAACTACATCAAACATTAATTCAACCAATAAATGGATTTCGCCAATTTCACATTTTAATTATCTTGGGGCGAACTCTTATTCAACGTCGTTAAATATCGAACCAGCACCACCAGGAATTCATTATATAACTCATGCCGATTTATCATCTAAACAAATTTACAATCTATTAACATCAGCTATTCAGCATAAACATAATGTAAAGTATTTGAATAAAAAATCGGATCAACCTTTGAGTGGCAAGACTTTGGCGATATTGTTTTCAAAAAGATCTACAAGAACAAGAGTTGCCACTGAAACTGCGATAGCTTATCTTGGTATTAATTTTTTTGATTTTACTATATTACCGTATTTTGCTCCCCGTTGACTGTACCCCCTTGATTATACTGGGTATACTACCAGTTTAATTACCTGTATATTTGGTACAAAACTGAGTATATTATCAGTTTTATTACTTGTATGTTTTGTTCAAAACCCGGGTATATTCAAAAAATTTTATTTTTCGAATATTGATATATTTAAAGCTCTTTCGATTTTTATATATTGCAATGTTAACATTTATATTAAGCATTTTCAAAACTTTGAGCGAAAATATCCCGATAACTATCTAATCAAATTTGATAAACCCTTTTTTTTATTTAAATCCTATTTATTCAAAGAATTCGAATAAAAAAATTTTCATCGAATTTAGTCAGGTAGTTATCGAGATTTCTTCGCTCAAAGTTAAAGAAAAATCAGAACACTAACAAAATAAAAGTTGCGCCAAATTTTTCCTCTAATTTTGAACGAAGATATCTTGACACCCATCAAACCAAATTCGATAAAACCTTTTTTATTTGAATTTTCTGGATTCATAGAATTCGAATAAAAAATTTTTCATCGAATTTAGCCAAGTGGTTGTCGAAATATCTTTGCTTAAATTTGGCATAGCTTCTACAGTAAAGTTTCCATAAGTGCACACCCTCTCTAAATGCATGCTCAAATTCTGGCCCAAATATATACATGCCCCCTATAAATGCACTTTCTCTTATTAATCTCTAAGTGCACGTTGTTGGTCCCAAGTGCGTGCTCTTAGAGGTTTTACTGTATTTTGATAGGCATTTTGATTTTTCTCTAACTTTGAGCGAAGATATATCTTCGCGAATATTCTTGGGCATATGGTCACATGATGAGTCACTTTGACCCGGGTCAAAATAGAATTGCCTTTATATTAACATAAATAACAAAACCACAATATAATCAAATATATATTATATATATCCCTATACACAAGATCCCTCAAATAGATGTGCCTTTGCGCGAGATGCTGATATTATCCTCGTGCAATTAAATCACATGAGTTATATCTCGCACGAAGATAACAATCGATAGTTCAATAGTAGAAGTCGCGCAAGATCACATTATATAAAAATATATGCTAGATCTATCTCGCGTGAAGCACATCTCTACCTCATAAAGCATACCCTCCGCTATATAGTATACCCGGAAATTGTAAGAGATCCGAGTACTCTCCATAGCGAAATACGGTATTTGATCATCAGCCCAGTCTGATCACGTGAATTAATTCAAATTATTTTTTAATTCGTAGGTGGTCAACCAATGTTCTTAGGATCTCAAGATATTCAATTAGGTGTAAATGAATCTTTATTGGATACTAGCAAAGTTGTGTCTAGCATGGTAGACGGGATAATGGCGCGTGTTGGTCCCCATTCAGATATTGAGGTAGAAATTTTTGATTGATATTTTTATTTTATGTACCATTGTTCTCTCATAACTTATTTAATCATATAAATTAGACACTAGCAAAATATTCCACTGTTCCTGTGATAAATGCATTATCAGATAGATATCATCCAACACAAATTCTTGCAGATCTAATGACAATGCATGAAGTATTTGGACCTCAACCCAAAGACGAGTCATCATATGTTGCACATTTAACACATCCTGAAAAAACACTTCCAGGGTTGAAAGTTGCATGGATAGGAGATGGTAATAATATTTTGCATAGTATGTTGGTAACATTCCCGAAATTAGGTGTACATCTATCAGTGGCTACGCCAAAAGGATATGATTCGGCAAAGGAAGTGGTAAAAATTGCACAAGATGAGGCAGTTAAAACTAATACTAAAATTAGTTTCACGCATGATCCCAAAGAAGCTGTTAAGGATGCCGATGTTATTGTTACTGATACTTGGTATTCAAAAATTTTTTTTTTGTTTTTTTGATGGTGGAATTTTAATTATTAATATGATAATATCATTTCGATAAATAGGATTAGTATGGGACAAGAATCTGAAAAAGCGAAACGTATTAAAGACTTTGCAGGATATCAAGTAACATCATCATTAGCAAAAGATGGTGGAGCCAAACCTAATTGGAAATTTTTACATTGTCTTCCAAGAAAGCAGGAAGAAGTTACTGATGAGGTAATTACTTTCTTTACTAATAATTTTCAGACCTTTTGTATTTCTTCTCTTTTATATTTTATTAATTTATATAATATAAACAATTATATTATAGGTATTTTATTCACCAAGATCTGTTGTATTTCAAGAAGCTGAAAATCGTAAATGGACAATCCTTGCTGTGCTAGATGCTTTACTTGTGAAAAAAAGCTTTGATTAATCGTTATTTCTTGGGGATATATTTGTGTATAACCTTAAGAATAAGATTTTTTAAATCATATACAGTACTAGTCAGCAACAAATCTTCAAAAATACCAAATTTAAAAATTATATAATCAATTATAATTGGTTAATTTTTATATTTATACATTAAATGCCAATTTAACATTAATAAAGTATTATTATTTTTAAAATTATAAATCAAATAAAATCTATTTTAACAGAATAGTAGCTTTAATAAAAAAAGATAAAAATTTTATTAAAATTGGGGGTTTTTAAAAAAATTACCGTATAAGCGCGTAATAACGCGCAGGGGTGCGTTATTTCGAGCCCCTGCGCGTTATTTCGCGCGTTATTACGCGCTTATACGGTATAGTACTTTGAATACTACCGTATTAACGCCCACCTGCGCGTTATTTTGAGTATATGCGAGCTATTTAGAGCACACACATGGGCGTTATTTTGAGATAAAGATGAAATTTCTTCTAAACTGCCTGTTCTATCTAATTACTTGTTGAAGCCCTAATATGAGGTGCGTGTTATTTTGAAACCATGCATGCTATTTTTAGGGAACGCGATTTTCTAAATAACGCCCATGCCCGTTATTTCGCGACAATACGATATTTAGCTGCCCGATACGATAGTATCGGAGCAGCATTTTGTCTCGAATCGATCACGGGGTTTGGTAATTGTTTTAGT